GCCTGCTCCATGCATGAATGCCCCGGAAAGTTAGGTTTTCTTGTCTCCTCTGGTGTCCAGGTGGCTGAAGCCATGCATCACTGCTCTTACTGAGTCAGTAGAAAGCAGGCAACTCCCTCCTAGCCATCTGCTTAGAGAGGGGTCTGTTTAAGTTCAGAATAGTAGTTTTCAGAGTATCTCCAAATGGAAGCAAACTATTGACTTTGTTGCTCTAGTTAGCCAGAAAGGTCCACATTAACATCTTGAACCTACACAGTAAATATGATTGGATACCTGTTGGCATCAACACTCGTATTCCTTCTGGAACACCATGTTGTCAGCTGTGATCAAGACATGAGATCTTTGTCTGTAGCCCTGGACTGAAACTGTCTAAATCTGTAGCTTGCAGGCCATGGTCTGCAGATCCTCAGTTGTCCATGAAAGTCTTCCAAGAATTAAATAGGGTGTGAGAAGAGGGTGTCCCTTTGGAAACGGCTGGAGAAAATGGACCAAGCGAGACTTGCCTGTCTAGGCAAAGCAGTGGAAGACCAATTCCATGAGAAGCTGTGGGGCCTTGTGCTAAATATGCTGGTGATGAGCATGCATGAGATCTGACAGACCCAGCTCAAAAGGAGCTGCTATTCGGATCATTTTTTTTTTTGCTTGGTTAGAATATTCTTTTTGAATAAGCAGCAATATATTCTCTGCCATCCTGGATGCATGCCAGTAAAAGTCCTAAACCTTTCTTGCTAGCATCTGTATATAATATAAAGGGTCATTTATAATCTCTGTAAGCCATGATGGGGCCTTTCGTCACATTGTCTGAAGCCTGTTTGCATTCTGGAGACTGTTCTTGCTGACTTTTGGCTTGCGAAGAGAAATCTTGGGGTGGTTTTGTCTGTCTTCTTTCTGTCGTAGTCACTGTACTATTAAATCTACAGTGAGTTCCAAGCTATATATCCTAATGCATCTTATGATCAGCTATGCTCCTGTCTTTCTGTCTGACCTGCTCTATGCCACAGTAAAAATCAAACACCTAAAAGCTGCATTTGTAGGAAAATTATGCTATTTATGGGAATCCAAGAGTGTGATGTTTTGTAAATGGGAATGTACTTTTCAATCCTGGGTGGGTACCTTTGTAACTAAACTCTTCCTTCTGTTGATAAAGAGAGAAGTTAGAGAAATCTGTGTTCATGTTGGATTATCCGAGTATCTTTGGGGTCTGACCATTTTTTTTTTTTTTTTTTTTTTCCCCTCATGATCCATGCTGTGGTGATTCTGCTATAGGGAAGATACTGAGAGTGCAGAGGTGACAAGTGTTGTGGTACTTTATCACTGTGCTCTCGGTGCTCCTGCTGAGGAAGGTGGAAGGTTGTCCCTAGATTTGAGTGAAGGGTCTGTTATTTTGCCGTGGGCTGTCAATCCTGTTCAGCCTGGCAAACCCAGGTGATGGCTTCAGGCAATGAAAGCAATGAACTGAGAGCCTCGGTGAAGCTTCTTACTTCCTGTAATGATTGCTTCCTTTTATAATAGATCACTGAGCAGGTCATCTGAAATGAACCTGGGGAAGTGTTGGGTTTCTCCACGCCTGCCCCCCACCCCCCGCCAATGTGCAGGCTTCTGTCCTGTGCACTGTAGTGCGGGAGCAGCCTTTACCTCCAACCACTGCCTAAAAGCTCTGTCACTAGATTTTAACAAGGTCTGTCCAGCACGTCTCACTTCCAAGAAAGGCTTTTCCAAGGCAGAAATGACAACTTGACTGCCAAATTCCTTGGACTTGCAAGGGGATATGTGTACTTGAACAGTTTATTCCAAGGACCAGGTAGAGCAAAGGTGCTAGAGACCACCTCAGTCCAAGACAGCAGTTTTGGACTCATTTGGAAAGAAATCTATGTGCATGCCAGCAGCACCCACTGAATGAAAGCCCTGGCAAAACCAGCTTTGTAGATAGCTTAAAATAATCAACCTTTCTTGCAGTTTTTGACATAGCCTGCCCAGTGCCACCCGTTTAGCTCCAGATCCACAAATGTAGTGCTAGATTCCCAAGCCGGTTTAAAGTAATCCTTGAAGGACAAGATGACATTAAGTCTGGGTCTATGCAAGGGAAAGCTAAAGCGAGTAATGGTAGCTTCCCATTTCTTCTTAGGAGTTACAGTTTGGAGCTGCCATTATACATTAACCAGAGCAGACAGGCTGCCAGATTCCCTTTGGCAACTGTGGAGTCTGCCTCCAACACCTGCCTTTTTCTTCTGCATTGTGCTGGGGTGTGCAGTGGTGTTTGTCTTTGTTCACCTTCCTACCTCATTTGCCTTCAGGAATATGAAGTGCTCTAGTTTCAGCATCAGATATGGAGGGTTTTTCTCAGAGTGCAGTTGAATTTTATTTTTTTTAATCTGACACAGAAGTGCTTTGTATGTATCCAAGAAGGTGGCACAGGTTGTCTCAGAAGCCCACCAAAATCAGTATTAGAGTGAAATAATCAGTGTAGGATAATCCAGCTCCACATGATGGAAATGGTACATCTTCCCAGATGACTATGTGATGGGAGAAGGCCAGAAGGACACACACACAAGCTATGTAGCAGTTATAGCATATGTAAATAAATTGATTTATTTGGATTTCATTGACAAGCTAGAAAAATGGTCTTAACACAAGTGGAGGCACTGGAGTCCTTGATATTTATGCTCTGTTTTAAAATGTTCAGTAACTTTATTCTGAATTTGTTAGTATTCATGTCCCTTCATGCTGTTACATGTTCCTAGTGTGCATACTACTGCTTCGTTCCTCCCCTGTGGTGGGACTTTTCCTCATTGCATGTTAATGAAAAGTTTTGTTTTTCATAACTTTAGGACATATGCTTCTGCCATTATCCTATTAGGTTCTGTATGTGTGCAGTTTCTTTCGTCTGACACGAAATGCTTTTGCCCTGAGGTTTGTGCGGAAGTGCTGTCCTTCCGATGGCTGCAAGCACTGTGCTAAAAACATGCTCAAGGTAAATCATACGGAGCTGTGGTTTCCTCAGCCCCTCTTGTACTTGCTCTTTCTCTTGGCTGCTTTTCCTTCCATGCTCAGCTGGCTGTTCCCTGGGCACGAGGAGATCTTATCCAGCAATACCATCTCAACAAACCCCATGGCTGAGGCTTGAAGAGATGAAATGGCCGATTGCATCATGTGTGCATGTGAAATGAAAAAGAAAACTTGACTTTGAATTATCACATTTCCAGTTGTTAGCTACTGTCTTTGTTTCTTCTGGTTTTGCTCCCTAAACTTTGTGAAGAAGTTGTATTGAGCCTATTAAAGGATCTGCTGTCATCATGTGATCTGAAGATTCATTAGTCTTTTTTCCCCCTTTTTGTCCTTTCGTTCTATGATGTAGATGTTAGTACAGACATTTGGGTACTAGGGTGTCTGATCCCTATATATACACACCACAGACCCTCAATAAATCTGAGAGAAGTGGTTCTCTAAGACCTCCCTGCCAGCCTGGGGTCACTTGAGGTGTGACTGTAGTCCCTGCTTTTCCTGATGGAGAATTACAAGCAGGTTTACAGCGAGTAGGAGCAGTGCCTGCAGGGAAACCTTCATGACTCTTCCTTGACACTGCTAATGGGCTCGATGGCACCGGGTGAAAAGCCCCCCTCTCTTTGGGTGCCCCATCTTACCCATCTGGCTGTAGCCGAAGGTTCGGTGAGCAGCCTGCTGGCCCCAGCCTGCCCATTGTGGTCTGCAGCACTCGGCTCAGCTGCTGGCATGCGTACCTCCTATTTATGGAAATGAGAGTTATCCAGAGAGCAGGGACCCTTCTGCGGAGATAGGAGGGGAATCCAAAAAGGAAACAAAATGCAACAAATGCTGTAAATGGCAAATACTGGAAAAATTAAATTGCCATGGGGAAAGGTGGGTTAGGGAAGGAGGAGGGGATGTACAGGTGCCTGTTTCCACTGGGCAAGCAGTTTGATTTTTGGTTTGCAAGGCTGGGGAGCCACTGTGATGCTTAGAGAAGAAGGGATCAACTGTACTGGGGGCTCTTGCTTTAAGATGGATGAGGAGCCGGGACTCTTCTGCATGCGCGGGGAATGCTTACACAAGCACTTTATGTGTTTTGGAGCACAAGCTGGTGTTTCCACTTCCCATTAGTGATCCCAGTTCTGATCCCCAATCAGTAGGAAAGTGGCTCTCAGGCCTGTTAACTACGCTGAGGTACAAAAGCAAAAATGTGAACCACTATTTAGCAAACATGAATGATGGTTGCAAGGGGAAAATGAAGGTATCCTTTTTTTCCCCCTCAAGAATGACACTGGAACCTAAAAACATAATTTTCAGAGAAGGTGGAAAAGGGTCTATGGGTCCTGATTCCCAGGGCTGACACTGTAGTTCCTGCCTTCTCATACACCTTATGGTGAGGAGGTCTCTCTCACTTTTGTTTTCTTATAAGACAGCATAAGACACTAGTCCTTCCCTCCCCTGCATCTTCTCTTGCCCATTTTTAGACTGTAACCTCACCAGGACAGCAATATAACTTGTTTGGCACCCAGCTTGATTAAGCCCTGCTGACAATGAGCTCCACCACACCAGAAAGCAGAATTTTCCAACTCAGATGTTGTTCAGAATGGTAGGAGGCTCAGGAATAACGAGCAGGGTGAAATTAAGACTAGTACAATGGGAACTGACTATCAGGAGATTTGGAACACTTTTTTTTTTCCTTTCTTTTTTTCTAAAGCCCTATTGTTTATGATAACTAGCAGAACTAAATTATGTACTATAAAACTCTGGCCTCTGAGGACCAAGCAAGAGGCGTTACTGGATGTCTTGTGGTTCAGGTTGGCAGAAGCAGGGAATCTTTCTGCAGCTATTGGGAGGAGAGGGTGGGGTGAGAAATGAGGACTGCAAGTTAGGCAAGCTATGGCTGGCAGAAGAAACAACCCCACCCCCGGATACTTGGTCTGTTTTTACTGCAGTCTGATGTATGTTGGTTCAGCTTGCCGTCTTACTGGGGCTAACAGTATCCTTTCTCTCTGCAGGCATTGGTGTCACTATACAGTTACACGGACAGTTTCCTGCCAAGTGCAGAATGGGTCAGAAACGGTGATCCAGCGAGTTTATCAGAGCTGCCGGTGGCCAGGACCTTGTGCCAACTTAGTGAGGTAAAAATCTTCATGTCTCATGTTGCCCAAATTTTCCTGCATTTCTCGTTAAATTGTTTACCTTTTAAGCGCTGCATAGAGGGTTGAGATCAACGGATCACATGTGATATCCTGCTTCATGGTGATGTAACTAAAGAATGGCACTGGTGTTAGCTGTAGAGTAATTACACGTGAAGGTAAGGTAGTGTTAGGGACAAGCTATGTGAGACAGTTTAGCTTAGGTTGTAATGCCAGTTTGTACTTCTCCACACAGGAGGCTGTTGCTAGTCCATCGTGAAGCTAAATAAATAATGGAGTCCAAGAGAGTGCAGTGTGACTGAACAGCGTTAGCAGGGATGCTGGACCAATGGCACTATGTGGCTTGTTGGTATCAAGTCCTCATACTCAGGTCTTTAGGATAATAATTGATCACATACATTGGAAAGCTTTGATCAAATTCATTGCAGCTGGTGATGGACAAAGGTAATATGCCCTGTACCATTTGGAGTGGAATTTCCTTACAGCACCTCTTACACCTGCATTTCAATATTCTTTAGAAACATGCACGAAAGCACAATGTCCCACAATGTCCTCTCTCCCCAGATGAGAAACAAAGCTTAGAGACAGTGACTTGTCAAAAATTTGTCCTGAGCCTGCTTTGCCTTTCAATCGTTTGTGGTCTTGGGACCCACCTACATTTAAGAAAAAAAAAAAAGTATGAAATAGTTATCCCCAGCTACCACCTTTCAGTATGCAAAGTGTCTTTGTATTGTTGCGTTCTCTGAAAAGACATTCTCAGAGCAGAATAGTGTTACCCACCCGTCTGGGAATTGGTGCAAAAAAGCCATTGTGCTCTAAATTTACACCTAGCTTCTATAACAATTTGCCATGTAGACAAGCCCATAGTTTAGCTTACAAAGCTTAGTCATTTTATTGTTATTGTTACCAGTTCACCCACAGGGTGTTGATTGAGGTCCTCTTGTAGTTGATAACCTAGCCAGAATGTGGTTGAACTACCCACTTAAATACCCAGAGATCCACCTTCCCAGTCTGTTCTTGTGACTCTTCATCTGGAATTCACATTTTGCATGTGGCAGTTACCACAGTTGGTTCTCCAGTTTCTACTTGGCCAGTGGTCAGTTTAAGTTTTTTCACTTGTAATATATCTGCTTTGGTGTCTCTTTGGTCTTGTTTTATGCAAGGCTGTGGTTGAAACACTTAATATTTTACACTGTTGTGGCCAAACTTCTGTTGAAGCTTTTTAATTTCCCAGACTTTTTAAGCACATAATTGTCATTAGAAACTTGTGAGCTTTCACCTTGTCTCCTAAACTTGCCAAAAATCATGCTTATTTTTCCTTGTTAACATAATGGTAGTTTCATAAGTACCAAACAATTGATCACGTTACTAGTAAAAATCCTTTTTGTGGGCTCCTGCAGTTACTCATATACATTGATTCTTACATTGTTAACCCAGAGACTTTGAGTAGTGTGTGCTGTTGTGACATTATTATTCATGGAACATTTTCAGTTTCAAACGTAGTTTGGCTCATTTGCCTGACGAGTCCAATTGTTTGGAGACAATGCAGAATGGCAGCAGACTTATTTTCACATAGAAAGAAAAATTATCATGGAAAGAAGCTGGGGTTATTGATATTTAAGGTCTTGGCTGGTGAAAGTTCAGCTGACAGGAGCTGCATTTCTGGAAGATGATCACCATGAAGAAACCTACCAGAAGAGATGGGAGGACACTAATGCTCTGTTCCCTTTGCAAGTGGGAGGAAACACGAGCAAAGCGGATGGCACCCTTCCAAGGAAATTACTATATTGTCTGTCCTTTAATCATGCATCATATGATATTCTTGCATGAAGTAGAGAAAGACCCTGGACCTCTCTTTCCCAAGGACCTTCAGAAAGCTGTTAACTGGGTGGGCTGCAGCATTTGTTATCCACAAAGGTAAAGCAGGAGTTGCATGTGCTGCTTCCTGATAATTTCCTATACTGCCACTGTATGAAAGCGAGAACCCCAAGAACAAGTAGCAATGAAGTCGAAGACACTGAGGTCCTGAGCGTTGAGTGGGTTGTTGTATAAGTTATCCCCATCCCAGACATCTTTTATAAGTGGTTGCTTGTTTCCGGCAGTGCGTCTGACTTATAATAACAGAATGAAAAACAGCCACTGAAAATTATGGATCTTTTGACGTGTAACTACTGTGGGCAACATTTGGTAACCATAAGTCATGTTGTATGGTTGAGGTCTTATTTCCTAGGCCAATGCAGCAGCCTATCAATGTTACGTTGCCAGCACCTATGGATGCGTGAGTAACTGGCTTTCTTTTGTCTCAGAGTGAAGCTGAGTTTTGAAAAAAATTTTTAAATTATACTTTTACCCCTCTTTCACCAAAATGGTGTTTCCTAAAGAAAAAATATCCAATCTCTCTCCTAATTCAGGTGAATCTCATCTCCTGTTTTCAGATGAAAACTCCCAAGGATAGCAATGAGAAAGACAGACCCCAAAATCACAGGGAAGTTGAGTCCCTCTTCTATTCAGCACCTCACTTGCTAGTGCAGTTCCTGGCAAGTTATACTTGTTTTCCTTATTTTTCTGCTAAGAAACTGGCTTCAAAGGGGTGTGTAAGCTTATATCGGCCACCATGCTGTATAACTTCCTTTGACAGGTCTCTGAAAATTCTTACAGAAGATGAACAGAACGGAAAACTCAACTTGGGTGCCCTACTTCCCTGTGTCTGAAAGCTTTGGGTGACCCTGCTGTTTGCCTGGAAGATGTCCTGGTTTTCTCAGGTGTCTGTTTTTTCTTGTGGTGAACATGCTGTCTGTGGTGCAGGGTGAAGACAACCGCTTGGGAAAAGCAGTGTGACTAGTATCAAATCTGATAGCATCCTATCCCAACACTTCGCAAAACACAGGAGAGAGCTTATGCTAGCTTCATGGAATGGGAATCAAAGAATCCCTTGTGTCACTAAACATCTTCTCAAAGTCACCAGTCCTTGAGTGTGTTCCTGTAATATGAAGGAGCTTCTCTATTTTGTCTACAGTCCTTAATGATTGCCTGCTTGACTGTATCTGCTCTACATGACAGGTCCAGCAAGAATGTTTCACAGGGCCAATGCTTCACTCCCATCAAACAATGTTGTTTTTGTTTCCTCCTTACCTTCTCTGTACTAGCATCTCTGTCTTTTCAGGTTTTCTGGAAGTCTAGGTTCTGGCAATGTCAGACTTGCTCCAGGTCTGGTAATGGCTACAAATGTTCATGATTTCTGTACCCCTGTGATTGTTCAGGTAATATAAATATATCTGCTTTCCTTTTGCCAAAAAGACAAACTTAAAGATATTCTGGCCTTGTCCTATTTTTCTCTAGTGAGATTTCTGGTGCCTGAGCTTGAAGGGGGGGGACGGGGGGGACAACAGCCACAATGCAAAATGTCAGTAAGCCATTGGCATTATTTTGTCTTTATAGTATTTCTCCCAGCTGCGACTTGAAACAAACTGTTTTCGTCTCCTTGTTTACAGGGAGTCAACCGTATCTGAGGGAGCTTTCATTCTGCCAGCACCCGTTATCGGGCTGCTCACTAGCAAAAGGGATGCCAGCCAAAAAAAAGGCATCTCTCAACCTCGTGGTGACAGCTGAGAGGGGTTCTCTGTTAGGCAGACTTTGCTTACAAGCAGACATCAGTGTGGCCAGACAAGGATTTAATCCATTTCCTGTCTCCCATTCATTCGTGTTATGTTTCTTTCCCTTATTGCACAAACTGCGGCTCAGGGTCAAGCCTTTGACAGAGGAATATCTGTGAGATCCCCAGCTTTAGCAGCTTCAGTAGTGTGATGTCCTTGCTGTCTATTCACTTGCTCTTGGGAAGCTGGCAGCTGTACCTCTTTTGCAGGAGTGTCGTCATCTTGGCTGGGATGGGATGAGCTGCTCTGTTCTTGCCCTCCACCCCAGACTCTTTATTTAGCTTGGGTGCTGAGTTGCTTTGGAGCAGTCTTGGCTGGAGATTTTCCCTCAGCAGATCTATTCTTGAAATCTCTCTATTTGTGTAGTAAAGGCTTCAGCTTCTGCGCGCCATAGGATATGCCTTTGCTTTGTCACGCTACGAAGTGAACGGGCAACTTTCCAGCAGTCTGGCTGAAGCTCCTAGTGTACTTATAAAAATTGCATGCCACTTATCTGTCTGAAGGAAGGGATAAAGTCTCTAGCTTGGTGTTTCAATGGCAACCTAATCACTGGGTCTCTGCTGCCTGGATGATTGCACCCTGCTCCCAGTAAACCCAGGCATCTGAATTGTAACCCTTCTCCTGAGCAATCATTTTGCTGCAGCAGCTGCAGGCTAATGCACAATCCTATCATGCTTAGGACACTACACTCCTCGAGGCTCACAGAGAAGGGTGCTTGCATAGGCCAGGCAGGGATTTGAGACCTGCATTCAGTTGCTGGAACTTTTGTGACTTCCTGTGCCTTCAGTCAAGTGATGCCACCTCGCCTGTAAGATGAGAACAGTACTACTTTTGTCTTACTGTGTTTTACGACTTTGAGAGTAGGACAACTTCTTGCTATACCCTAATTGGCCAAAATCAGCCTAATTTTGATTAGAGTATTTGCGTATGACTTGTGGTCAGTAAAACAGTATCTCAGGAGGTAAATGAATGTGATGAACAGCCTGGCAGATCATGCACTGTTTCAGCCTTCAGAAGATGAACATTTTCTGCTTCAAACTGTTGTTGCTGTGAAAATCCCTGTCTCATGTCTGGAAGCATGCTGCTTCAGACTGTGGCAGGATATTCTAACTCCTCTCCTACTTGTTTCATCCTAGAAAAATGAATGTTCCCCGCAAGGTTGTGTGAGTGTTCATCCTGCTACTTTTTGCTGTATTCAGTGGTCACATAGTTGTTTCACTCTACCTTTTGAGCATCCTGTCTCTGCAGCACTTTCTGGCTTCAGAGAATCTGAAGATTCCCCTGGAAACACAGAGCTGGCTTGTATGGGGATGGGCTTACCCAGTCTCC